GGCGGCGGCGTCTCTGGGGTCTGCCAAGCCGCAGTGCGCGGAGCAGGACGGCGCCGAAGGCAGGTGCAGGGTGCGGACGCTCTTAAACCAACTTTGCCGTCAGAGGCACTGGGCAGTGACGCTACAGCCACGGATCACTGAAACGTCACGTATGCGCGTGCGTACAGACCGCAGAAATAGCGCGTAGCAGCTGTGGGTTCGCTTAGAAGTAGTGTGGAATTTTCTTTGTATAAGAGTAAGCGAAAGTCAAAAGACGTGGGCTGTGTCACACTTGCATTTTCCAAACGTAGCTTTGCAGCCAAAATTGAGGAAGTTTTTTGATGATGCTCTTACTCGACTTTCGCAAGACACTTGCAAGTGCGTGTTTATTTATTTGTGTTGCTCTAATAGCTGCGACTTTTGAAATGCTCTGTGTGTGAGAATGCATCCTTGGAGTTAATGGGAAAGTTAAGACGCAAGTGTGAGCATCTGTTCTCAGATGTGATTTTTGGGTCAGGGTTAAGGCTGTAATGTGGCAAAGTCTGATGTTATGCACTTAATTTAAGCGTACAACATCAGCTTTGGAGGAGTTTGGAAGTAACTGATGTGCCAATGGGCTATATTCAGCTCTGAAACAGGTAGCTTATTTTCCCTTGTGAGCATCATGGAAACACTGACGTTGGAAGGGATGTCTGGAGATCCTCTAACAGCGTCAGCTGGAGCAGGTTGCTCAGGACCATGCCAGTCAGATTTTGAGTATCTCCAAGCACAGAGACTGCACAACCTCTTGGACAGCCTGTTCCAGTGTTTGACCACCCTCACTGTTCTCCAGGTGTTTTTATTCACTGCATTTAGGTGAAACTTCTTGTATTTTAACTTGTACCCATTGCCTCTCATCCTTCTGTGTGTGTCACTCGGACTTTGGCTACACCTTCTTAAGGTCTCCTCCATCAGGTAGTTGTACACATTGGCAAGATTGCCTCTGAGCCTTCTTTTCTCCAGGCTAACCAGTCCCTGCTCCCTCAGTCTCTCATCATACGAGAGATGCTTCAAGCTCTTAATCACCTTCACAGCTCTTCACTAACTCCAGTATGTCCATGCCTTTCTTGTACTGGGGACCCAGCACTCCAGATGTTCCTCACCAGGGCTGACCAGAGGGGAAGGATCACCCCCCTTAAACTGTTCAAAATGCTCTACACGTGAGGCTACTGGCTTTCATTGCTGCAAGGGTGCATTGCTTGGCTCAGGGTCAACTTCATGTCCACAAGGACCACCAGGACCTTTTCTGCAGTGTTGCTCTCTAGGTGGTCAGCCACTAGCGTGTGCTGGTGCATGAGGTGAATCCTCTCCCGGTACAGGTCTCTGCACTTCCGTTTCTTAAGTTCATGATGTTCCTGTCAGCCCGTTTCCTCAGACTGTTGAGGTCCCTCTGAATGGTAGCACAGTCACACTGTCTATCAACCACTTGTCTCAGTTTTGTATCCTCTGCCAACTTGCTGAGTGAGGGTGCATCCTGTCCCATCATCCAGGTCACTAATGAAGGTCAAATAGTGTCAGCCCCAGGACTGGCCCAGGTGTGCACAGTTAGAGGCCTCCAGCTGGGCTTTGTCCTGCTCACAACCCCTTGAGCCCAGTCCTGTGAGGTTTTCAGTCCGCCTCACGGTCATCGTATCTAGTTCATCCTTCCTCAGTTTGTCTATGAGGATAGATTACTGTTACAGGAAACAGTATTTCTGAAATTGAGATAAAAGCTTTTCTGAAATTAAGATAAAGCATCCACTATATTGGTCATCTAATCACGGGAGGAAATCTGTTTTTATTCTTAATTTATTGCTGAAAAATTTGTGGACCTAACTCAAGGTATGCTGAGCTGGAACAGTCCGGAATAAATGTTTTAAGATGAGTTAACTGCCCTCTTCACTTCAGGGAGGGGTTAAACCTGCACACAAGCCTTCTTTATTTCAGTTTTATTTTGATCATCCCATAAGAAAGTAGGAGGAGGGTCACAAATAGGGACAGTGACTGAAAATACAAGTAAGTAGCATTTAGGAACTGCCCCGTATGGATTGCACCAACAGGAAAAAAATGACATTCATGTACTTGGGACTGTTTTTGTTTACAGTTTCTAAAACATTGCTGAAATGTGTTGTGGATCAGTGCATAAGTTCCTTTTTAGTGTAGTGCTTTTATGATAATGTGTTTTGACTTGACTTGAAGACAGACTTTCATGTACTTCAGCTTGACTTGGATTAAATTAGATTTCTTGCTTTTGTCCAAATTTGGATAATGTTTATTTTTCTTCTAAAAGGTGTTATTTTTGCTTTGTGAAATGTGATGCAGTGAAGAGGTTTTATGGAATACTGAGAGTTAGAGGTCAAGAGTGTTTCAACTTCAGAATTAAAATCAGCATTATTTCTGCCTGTCACTCATGCAGCTTTTTTTCCTAAATAAAGAAATTCTGAATAATATTCCTGAAAGTCAGGTAAGAAAAATTTCCTTTCTTAGTAGCTGATCTTATAGGGAATACTTCCCACAAGTATGTAACTATTTTTCTTTGACTATCCTATTAACTGAATATTTATTTTCAAGGGTAGAGACTTCCATATCAGGATACTATTAAAAATGGACTTTCAACTGAAAAATGCAAGGTAGGATAGTTTTATGAAAGCAATTTGCAAGTCTGCGTAATAAAAGCTTATTCTGATATGCATGTGAATTATTATTTTTTCCAATATCAGTGTTGGTAATTAATTCTTACTGGTTTCAACTTAACCTTGTAACAAAATTGTACAGTGTTAGTGTTAATAAAAACTGACAATAGACATTGCCTATATCAAAATATTTTGTTGTTCATTAACTTTTGAAACCTGTTGTAATTAATTGATTATAAGTATATATAAATCAATGTACTTGGGAAAAAATGTTCATTTAACCATTTGAGAAGCAGAAAATTCAGTGAAAATTTGTAAATTTAAGCAATGATAAGTTAAAAAAGCTATGCTAACCATCATTTTCTCTTTCCTGTTAACATGTATTACTTTGGGTTACCTAACTTTTCTTTCAAAGCTCCATTTATATTACTGTGAGTGTAGTATGTGGAGATGTGTGTATTGTGTGGATGCACATATATATACATGGATGAGTCTTTAACATTGTATTGCACACTTCTGCCTAGGCCAGCCTGCTCTGAACTGTGAACAGATGTGGTATTAGATAGCTTTATTACTTTCTAGGTCGGATACTTAAAATTGCATTATAGGTAACTTTGACATTTTCAGGATACCATTTTTAAACATTGGTGTATTTTATGAAGTCATATTAGCTTGCAAGAATTATGTTGTTTTCAGTGAAGAGCAGAGGCTTTTATAGGTAAATGCTTAATTTTTAATGGGCTTTGGGATAGTGACATTTGAAAGTTTTAAATAGCTTTGAATATGAAAACTCAAAGACATTTTGAAGTATTGTTTACTTCCTTTGGTTTTTTGAAGATAGACTTTTATGTTGTGGTGTAACAGACTTTCCGATCTCTTCTGAAATGACGTAATGTGAATTTTAAGTTCACACAAAATACTGTTTGTCTAGGATAGAGTGTAGCTGGCACCTAAAGAGGATACTGCATGGATATGGGCATATTTTGAAGCAGGTAAACAACTCTTAAAATAATTTACATGTATGCTTACAAAAATTCTGAAAAGCTTATACTGGCACACCTATTCTAAAAGTGTTAAAGAACTCTCATTGTATAGCCAAGATTTACTTTGAAATGCTTGAAGACTTGCAGGTCAACCTAAAGGGAGATGGATAGAATTTAGTAAAAGTTTACTTTTGTTCAAGTTTTATTTTTTTGAAGATTGAGATAGAACAATTTTTAATGAATGATTGCTGACATTTTACTGGAATTTTTCTTTAATCTCTCAATTAGAAACAGATTTTTTTTTTTTTCCCTTTTTAATATATTTATCTTTTACAAATTGTTTGTAATGCAAAGAAGAGAATTCACAGTAATTATTGATAGATCTAGCTCATTCTGTGTTCTAGACAGTCGACGAATCTAAGTTCAACTTTCCTACCCAGAAGAAACTTTGGAGCAAAGATACAACAGCCCTGCAGTCATGAAGAATATTTTGTTTCTAAGCAAGCATCTTTGCCACATGTGCTAGTTGAGACACTGTATCTCATGGACTGTGCACCCCTTTGTAGAACAAGGGTTATGAGTTGGGAGTAACCAAAGATGCAGAGCTGAGGGAAGTGTGAATACATACCACATCTGAAGATAGACAGGGATCCTTAATCATGGACAGCATGTAAAAGCAGAGAAGTCTGGAGAGTTCTTAAAGAAAATGTAACCAACTAAGAAACATTTTTGAGTGATTCTAAAGCTTCGGTTCTCATTGGTGAAGACTAAAGTCTTCGTAAGCATCTTCATAAACACCTAAAGTGTAAAGTCTTTGTAAACAATGTAAATGTGTAATGTGACGTGATATGACAAAGGTGATGGTTAATTTTCAGTAAACTTCCCTGTACTCTGGGAGGTTTATTCTGTAATTGAAATTTTTAAATATGTTGTTTTATGTTAGCTGGTTTGACAATACTAGAAGAATAGATAGTTAGACTGGAATTGTTTACTGCTAAGTTATGACTTGAAGAAAATTAATTGATACTGTGTTTCCTCCAGAGGTTGCACAGCTGTCCAGATCTTGTCAGTTTCATGGTGGAGCTGAAAACTGTTTTGGTAAGTGACAGAATATATGCATGGGAGAACGGATGTTCTTATAGCTTTGGTTTTCACTTTCATTTTTTTTAAGTTTACTGCTTGATAGATGGATTTATGGTGGGGTTTTTTAAGAAGAGGTGATTTTGTGTGTATGCTGTTCATGAAATATTTGTATAAATATCCTTTAGGATTTTAAGTGACTGTACTCTTTGGAAATTGGAGTGTTATAGAAAAATTAGCAAGGGATCTCAGTATAGAGACATCCTTTTTACAATTATTTTCTTGGAATTCCTGGTATTGTGCTGATGGTAAAGAAGGCTTATAATCATACAAAGGATTATACAGTGAGTGGATTTCTGAAGGTGCTTTCACCTGTGTGACAACTTGTCCAATAAATGCAGAAAGATTTTTTTATTTTTTTATAGAGACTGCTGTTTATTCTTTTTTTTTTTTTTCCACAAAAATTTCAAATCTTGGATGGAAGAGTAGCAAAGTCTTTAGTTAACAACATGAAACTGACAATTTCTTGTCTTTTAGTAAAACATTATGAACATTTTTGGCAAAGAATACTTGTGTACAGCCTTTTAACTTAGAAATAAAACACAGTAAGTATTCTTCAACACAACAACAAAAATACCCTCCTGGTATTACACTACCTCTATGCTGGGAGCACCTTTCTTCAGTATTGGTTCAATCCCTGCCAAACTGGATTACATTAAACCAGGCAAAGGCACTTGGAATAGGACTGAATAAGAATGTCTGCATGTGTCTGTTTTTGAATATTTCACAATAGTTATTCTAATATCTTTGCATGGATACATAAGCACTCAGAAAAGGAGTATGCAGTGAAAGTATAATTAATTCAAAATAGTAAAACAGGAATCCTCAGTGCAGATAGAAAAACAGCAGAAGATGCTGTGGAAAAACTGGGCAGAAATGATTGTTATACTGAATTTTATTATTTAATCTATTTATTATTTTTTTAATTTAAATTTATTTTATTTTAAATTATTAACAATTTTATTATAAATCATTATTTTGTTTATTTGTCCTACAAGCAAAATTTTAACTGAAGTACACTTCTAAAGAACAAGTAGTACAACATGAATGTGGAACACCTGGTTTGGTTTTGTTTTTCTCTGTAACCTGGTGTTATGTTTTTGATAAAATTTCTTTTTGAGGTGTTATGACATTATTGATGAGTGCCTGTACCACAACTTATGCTCTGGGGTCTTATGATATTAAAACTGAGAAATCCTTTTTTTTTTTTTTTAATTGCTGTATATATGTGTCGTCTTTTTGTGGCTGTGGAGCCCAGGAGACAGCTGTGGGCTTAATGGAACCTTCTTTTGAAATGTTCTTTCAGATGAGATGCTTGACTTCAAATTTATTAGCTGAAGAAGAGGCACATTTGATATTTGCATCTGAAGACTATGTTGTCAACATCTGTGGGTTTTTTTTAAATTGCAGATGTTTTCATTACCAGTATCTGAAGTAATTTACCAACAGCTTCTTTGTCTGCTTTAGCTGGAGGCTGTAACAAAACAAATGCAGTGTACGGTTAATTTTACATAAGCTTAATATTTTTGAATGAATTGCAAAAATCACATGACTAAATAGACGCAAAAATATTGAAATCTCTCTTAATGATGTTTTTAATGTTCTTTTAAACAGGAAATTGCTTTAAAGAATACACAAGACCTGAATATACCATGGCCGCCAGAATACTACTCCTGTCTTGTCAGAGATATAGAAATATTGGGCTGGAATAAGTATGTTTATTTTCTTTCTTAACTGACATTACCTTTAGAATATCTGTTCTTCTTTTGTATTTGTGAGTTGAACATATCAAATTAACTTGTTCTGTTATCCTGTTCAGAAACTGGTTTTGCTTTAAAAACTCTGCTACTTTGTTTTTTTTAATTTAAAAGAACCTCAACAAACCTGTATCAACTGAAGATATATTTTCAGTCACAAATAACTGAGCTGAAAGTGAGATGTTACTACTAAGAAATCAACTCTTCTTTGACCTATGAACTATTGGCCTAGCAAACGTATTTAATACAACTTTTATAGTTCTCCTTTTTTGTCCTTTTCCATACTTTGTACAACTTTTTTTGACCATTCCCTTATGCTATGGTTGGTCATTGTGTACCTTTATGCTTTCATAAAAACAGTTCATGCATTTTTTTATAACTAGAATAATTATTTTAAAGAACAGTTTTATCTTGCTCTCCATAGCCAAAGGAATGACATAGTTAATCCAGAAAACACTAAATCTGGAAAAAAAAAAAAAGTGAGGGGAGGAGAGAACTTGGAAAGCTATAAAACCAGAACTTCACAACAGCCTGCTCTTTGCAATACCCACAGAGAGAAACTTTTATATATTTTTTGCTACCCAGACAGGCTCAGAGATGAGGGCTATTGAGAAGCATTCCTTAGTCTCCAAAAACTGTGCAAGCAGACCATGTTTGGGGGAGCAGGGGGTCATTTCCATGTGGGAAAAATGTTGGTTACTGGACAAGGAGAGTATACACTGTGTCACTTGAGAATGGAGGCTCAGTGCACCCAAGAACATGGTTTCATGTATGCGCTGTACTATAAATCGAGTGTCTGTTGAACAAGAAATGACAGTTCAGGTCATCTTCTGGGGAAAGGAGAACTGGAAGCAAATCTTTTCACCTCAACTAAAATGGTAGGTTTAATACAATGGGAAAGTAAGTCACATTAGCAAAGGATACTTGACTTTGTTGAGGAATTAAATGTACACATAGCTGCCTCTGGGTGCCTTCTCATTAGGGTCTTGACTGAGTGCAAACGGATTATATTATTCACAGTCGCATATACTCTCAAATGAGCTCATAGAATCAATTTAATTTCATCCTTCTACAGAGAAAAACAAGGTTGTTCTCTTCATACCTCCTATAGAAGCCTGAAGGAACACAGTTGTGATCAAGTACATGAGGTCCATGTGGAAATTCTTCAGAAATCTGCAAAGCTTCCTGTTTTGCAGACTTTTACTTGAAAGGCTTTAATTGCCATCACATGTGTCATCACAGGCAAGTTCTCAGATACTGAGCCTTTTACTCCTCCTACAGAGAGCCTGGAATGGACTGGTTTCTATCCTTTCCCCTAGAACCTCCAGGGGACCTCTATGGGATTGAAGAAGGTAGTTTTTTCCGTGTAAAAAATGTAGGGAGGCATTAAGGAAATATATTTGAAGGCTGTCTTTAATAATATGCAATTCATTTCACAGTACCTTCTTTCAAGGAGTTAAGATGAAAGATTGTGTAGGATGTTGAAGAGTGTTGAATGAGAAGCTACTTTTTAGTTTCAGTAAAATGAAAGTTTAACAAAAAGGTCTACATTTGTGGTTTTCAACAAGACAAATCTACTTTTACCTTAGTCTTGGATGGTAAGTTAACTTTAACAAGTGTTTATTTTGCTAAATGAAATAAAGAATTGTTGGGTTTAAGAATAGTTTTGAGTTTTCTCACGTGATTTGTATATAAATAAATAACATGATTAATGAGGAATGTGCTTTGAAGGCCCACTTTTATTTAAAGATTTAAAGCATCCTTGATAAATCAGCTGAAATTTTTTCAGTGATTTCCATTATTAAGTATGTAGTTGTGCCAGCTGATGACATACTTTATTAAAATTTCTTAGACTCAGGTCCAAGAATATTAGTTAAAATTTCTTAAACACATGGGAAATAAATTTTGAATCATGCATGCTCTCCCAATATGAAGAAAAAGAAAAAATCCTTGAAAAAGCCCACATCAGCAAAAGAGACACTGAAGTATATTTATTGTATATCAAAGTTACAAAGATATAAAATGTACTGTATTTATAATTGGATATATAAATGTAGTATATAGCTAATTATGCTAAAAATACACTTTAAAATACAATTTAGTAGCTTATCTCAAAACTGATACTTCTTCTGACTTGCTGTACGTACAAAACATCCAGTTGTTTATTATTAAAAAGCACATCAGTGTTTTATCAGATAGCATGCTTCTAGGGCAGAATTTGACCTGGTTTCTAGGCAGAGATGGTCCTCATGTAGACACCCAACTTATGCTGTGATTTTGTCCACTGTAGTCATGTAGTTCAGCAAACACACACCTCTTTGTAACATAAGTTAATAGATAAGGTCTTTATTTAATTGGGGTTTTTTGGTTTGGGAAGTCAATCATTAATCAAAGGGTGTCCTGTGTTCAGCTAGGATAGGGTTAATTTTCACAAGAAGCCAGGAGGGGACACAGCTGGGCCAGCTGACCCAAACTGGCCAAATGGGGTATTTGATACCATGTGCCGTCATGCTTGGTTCTGAGCGGGCGAGCTGGCTGTGGCTTGTTAGTCGCTGCTTGGGAGTGCACTGGGCATTGGGTGGTAAGAGAGTTGCTCTGTGTATTCTCTTAGTTTTGTATATTCTTCTTATCAGTACTGTGGTTGTTACTGTGCACTTCCTTTGCTGTTGTGTTAAACTGCCCTTATCCTGACCCATGAGTTTTGCCTTTTTCTTCTGATTCTCCTCCCCACCCCACCGGGGCGGGGTGGGGGGAGCGGGGCGGGAATGGGACACAGTAGAGCAGCTGCATGGTCCTTTGTTGCTGGCTGGGGCTAAACCACCACTGTCCTTTTTTGGCACCCAACATGGGTCATGAAGGGTTGGAATAATGGCAGGGCTGACCGGAACATGTTAAAACAACTTTAATAAATGTGTATTACAAATTATAATATATTAAATAGTCATTGGTCACAATGTTGTTTTCTTTGGTCACATGGTTGTGGTATGTAAGTCCTTACTTGCTCTGTGTATTTGCTGTGGTGATGTTTATTACCTCTAGGAAAATGACCAGGATTACCATTTTTCTGTACTGTGTAATATTGACTTCTGATATGATAACATCACTAGGCATGAGGTTAGGCTCGCATTTGTATGCGGCATTGTGGTCATTTCCATACCTGGGACTCCATCTCTTGGAATTTATTAATAATCGAACCCAATCTATGGGCAAAATGGGAGGCTATACTTTCCCCCACTCTTTCACACCTCCTTTCTCCTTCAGGCTAGTCGTAACAGCTTTTGAGAATTTTGAGTATCTTTGAGATGTTCAAGCCAGCATGTTCTTATTGCTATGTCTCCTGACTGGAAAGGTGAAGAGGCACCAACGGTGGATGAAGTGGCTGGCTGACTCCAGCAATGCGAAGAAAGTCTCTCTTCCTCCCTTCTCAGCTGTGGAGAAACTGTCCCAGGAGGTCTAGCAACTCAAACAGAATATATCCTACTCCCTGCCTGTACCAACCAGTATCTTGGCTATTAGGAGTAAGTGTTCCTCTGCTCAAGAGAGAGGATATAGAGGGTACACACCATGAGGCACGCTGCGCTTTTACCTGCGTGACCACAGAGAGGACATGAGGAAGTGGGATGGAAAACCTACCTCAACCCTAGAGGCACGAGTGTGCAAGTTGCAAGGAAAAACAATCACAAAAGGGGGTTCTTCTAGGAAAAATACCACTCCAGTTTCCAGAAGGCAGTTCTCCAGAGTAGAAAGCTTGATCTTACTTCTGATCCTCTTGAGGGGACCTCTCAGACATTTTTACAGGAAGTGAGTAACAATCTGACCAGGATTAGAGGGGCCCTGCCTCCAGGCAGGTGGAGGAAGGGGCCAACTGGGTTTATTGAGCTATGTGGATGTGATGGCCTGGCATGTCAGATTCACAAGGGAATAAGGCTCTAGTGGACACTGGTCCACAGTGTACTTTAATGGGATCACATTGCAAAGTGTCAGAGTCTATCTGTATTTAGCAATTAACCCTGTGGAGTGTGGCCAGCAAGTCGAGGGAGGTTCTTCTTCCCCTCTACACTGCCCTAGTGAGGCCCCATCTGGAGTACTCTGTCCAGTTCTGGGCTCCTCAGTTAAAGAAAGATGAAGAGCTACTGGAGAGAGTCCAGCAGAGGGCTATGAGGATGATGAGGGGAATGGAACATCTCTCCTAAAGGAAAGGCTGAGGGAGCTGGGCTTGTTCAGCCTGAAGAAAAGGCTGCGAGGGGACCTAATATATACTTATAAATATCTGAAGGGTGGGTGTCAGGAGGATAGGGCCAAGCTCTTTTCAGTGGTGCCCAGTGACAGGAAAAGGGGCAATGGGCACAAAATGAAGCACAGGAAGTTCCGTCTGAACATGAGGAAGAACTTCTTCCCTCCGAGGGTGATGGAGCACTGGAACAGGCTGCCCAGGGAGGTTGTGGACTGGAGTGACAGGGGGGTCCCAACAGCTAACTGTATTAGAGGCTGAAGTGAGCCTAACTGGGAATGAGTGGCGAAAGCACCGCATTGTGACTGGCCCCAAGGCTCTGCGAATCTTTTGCATAGACTACGTCAGGAGAGGGTGTTTCAGGGACCCAAAAGGGTACCGGTGGGCTTTTAGTATGGCTGCCTTGCAGATGGAGGAAATTTAACATCTGTCTACTTTGTCCGGTCTCTGAGAGGATCCTTCTGGATCCTTCACGATCCTATGGACACCATCGCACAGGTTATCCAAGAATGTGAAACATGCGCTGCAATCTAGCAAGCCAAGCCTGGAAAGGTCAGTGGTATGGAGGATGATGGCTAAAATATAAATACAGGGAGGCCTGGCAGATCCACTTCA